AAAAAAAAAAAAAAAAAAAAAAAAAAAAGCGTGGAATGTTATTACAAATAACAATAAAAAAAAAATAAGGGTGAGATAATGATAATAATATTGTGTACCGTTTTCGTACTTTGGAATAGAGATATTCACTTATATATAAATATATAATAATTAAAATAAATGATAAAAGTAAAAAAAAATAAACAATATTGTATTATTATTATTTGTGACGATAACTAAAAAAATACTTTCAATAAAGTAATTATTAGTGGGTATAAAAATGTTAAAAAGGCCACACTAATTATTAATAATAATAATAAAAATATACTCAATAAATGTGGGGTATAAAAAATCTAATAGAACATACAATAATTTTACAGTTTACTTAATTCAATTTTCTAATAGCATGTAAAAGTACAAAACTAATTCATTACTTTATTGTTATTTTACTAAATTATAAAAGTATATCTATATATAAGATTTTTTTTCTTTTTTTTTTTTCCCCAAATCGAAGAACGCAGATATGGTAAGACTTAATTTATTTCATTCCACCATTACTGAGTATAAAATTATCATCGCATATCAAGGATAAAATTCCTTATTTATTTTCAATTTATCGTAAAGGAGAGGAAGTTTAGAATATAATAGAATTTAAGTAAAAAGTTGATACACTTTAGACATAAATTTTTATGATTATACAAGCTACGTTAGATTTAGACATATACGCTGCTGACCAAATGCATCTTACAGCTCTTGGTTACATAATTGATGAGAAAAATAATAATAATACCAGCTATTATTATTATTATTATTATTATTATTATTATTATTAGTATCATTGTTGAAAATATTCAGTACTTGAACCAGTATGATTTTTAAGCAAACAGACGTGCGGTTCTGTTTTAATGTAAGATATAATGTGTCGGCATTTACATTTTTATATAATACTTGTTGTATTATTATCATTCTTTATAATATATATTTCCATTTATATATTTAAAATAAAATTAATCAATATCATAAATCATACTATACAAATATAGTTGTAACATTTTACGTTTTATCATCACTTTTTGTTATTGAAACATACTTTGTTAAATTGTAATATTGTTAAAATACGTTGGCCATATGGTAATAACATATTTATTATGCTTATTAAAGTTAAGCTAGCATTAATTATTATCATCATCATCATCATCATCATAAAATTCATTTTTTTAAGTTGTTTCAAAGAAAAAATGATTCAGATCTACTGTAATTTAAGTGGAAATTGTTTATTTTTTTTTTTTTTTGTATTTGTATTTGTTCTTTAAAAAAATTGATAAGATTAATCAAGATAATTTTTATTATTATCAATACTATGACTAATTTATATCATATATAATTACGTGTTAAGCGTTTACCGTACACCATTATAACACGAATAGCAAAGTCTGAAAGTATTTTAAAATGAATTTTATAACTTTTTAAAACTCACCCTGTACTGTTAAATTGTATTTAAGCGCTGTACAAATAAGCGTAAGATTTAATCATACACTTAATAATTATGATATAAAATACAAAGTTTAATTCAATTAGTATTATAAAATTTTAAATGAATTCATTGAAAAGACCTGTTATTTTCTTTCTTTCTTTCTTATATAATATGATTAAATTAATATTAGTGGTATTAATAATCTTTATATTACTATTATTATTACTATTGAGTTGTTTGTTGTTGAATTTCAATTTTCTCAACTGTCATATCAGGATTCATTGCTGTTGCTTCTTGTATAGCTTCAGCGAGTGCTCTGTCATGGTCAATTGGATCACCATCCGATTGAATAGTTATTTTTTGTTCTACTCGAGTTTCAACTACTCCATCTCGTTCGGTTTTATACTATAAATAAATAAATAAATAAATAAATAAAATAATTAATAAAATTTAATTAAATAGTAAATAATAAATACAAACCGTAATTGTTTCCACAGTTCGAGTTTTACTAGAAATAGTTTGAGAACTAACTATTTCACCTGTAGCACTGTAACTGCCGTCTTCATTTTCCAATGCCACTTTTCTTGTTTCAGTTGCAACCAATGGTACAGTACTAGTTGCAATAACATTGCTATCTGGTTCACCCGAAAATACATGCGTTTCTGTTGCCACTATTCCTGCTGAATCCCCCTGTTAATATGAATAATTATCATTTATTATTTTTTTAAATATTTTTAATTATTATAGTGCAATATAATTATTATATTTATTTTATTCGTGATACTCGTACAGGTATTCGTCAATTTATTTTCTATTGCACCTTAAATTATCCTGTTAAAAATAAACATAGATTTTTTTTTTATATTAAATAACAACTATTAACACCAGTCTACTTTTACATTAATATGAAAAAAAAAAAAAAAAAAAAAAAAAAAAAAAAAAATAATTTAAAGCATACAGTACACAAATATAAAATTAATATTAATATTTATTGTTACCTTTATGATAAATATTTGTAAATGATTAGATTATTAAAGCTGATGATTTTTTTTTTTTATTAATTTTACCTGGTAATACTGATTGTAGAAGGCACGTTGGTCATCATCAATGTCAATAGGTGTGCCCGAATCACCGCTGCTTGAACTGGACGTACTCAATCGTCGTGAGAAGAGCTACACCATGCAATGTATGTGTATGTGTGTATGTTAGCCAAGCCATTAAATATTTATTAATATTATTATAAAATATGCTTCCAAAAATTATGAATTATTATAATCACAATTGATTTTTTTAATTCAGTTAGTAAATTATATTTAATTAAGTATGATTTATAATAAAATAAAATAAAACAAAACAGTACTAAATGATGATTTTTTTTTTACACGTAAATGAAATTAATGATATTTTTAGTGACATTATCACAATAAATTAATGTTATAATTAAAAAATATATATTTATTCTTTATTATTGACTAGATATATTTACTAAAAAAAAAAAAAAATAATTAAAAATTTAAAAATAAAACTAAAAGGAAAAAAAGTTTACCTGTTCTCCGGAAAGCACATGACTTGTAGTTCTAACTTCTTGAGTAACAACTCGTTGTTCTTGCCTAGTAGCGCTAGTCGCTGTGGTGTGTGCTACTGTTTTCTCTTCAACCTGACATTTTAAAAATAAAAAATAAATAAAAAAAAATAATGTAAATAAAAAATACGACAACAATATATAGATGTGAATAAAAATAAAAGAAGGAAAAAGAAAAAAAAAAAAAACAAACAAACCTGACTTGTTTTTTGATTTTTTTCAAGATCTTCATGCATAGTAGCAGTACGAGTAGTGACAGCTGTTGCTGTCATATATGGAGCTCTACCATCATCCTGAGTTTCAGCCTACATTTATGCATAAATACGCAAAAAACTAAATTACTTGTATCTAAAACTCTAAATAATAATGATAATAATGATAATAACAATAATCGTACCTTATTAACTTGTGTATTTACTGTTATTTGTCCTGTACCTCCGGGAGTAAGATCTTCAATTTTTTCTTCAATATTTTGGGTTAATCCTTCTTGATCTTTTATTACAGATTGTTTAGTTGTAGTTTTAACAATAGTAGGAGTACTAACTGGTACGGGAGTTTTTTTTATTTTCAAAGGAGTTGTAGTAGTAGTAGTAGTAGTTTGATGAGGAGAAATATTTTTAGTTTTTGATTGATAATAATTATACTCCGTTGGTTGACCAGATTTATCATAAATAATTCCATCTTTAATAAATCCATTGTCTTGTCCAAATACATCTTTATTATAAAGTTTACCATTTGATTGATAAATTTTACCATTATTAATATAACTACCATCATTACCAAATGGACTTTCTGTTATTGGTTTTCCACTGGCATCACAAATTAAACCTTTATTTATCATCGTTATTGTTATATAAGTATAAGTTTTTTCAAGTAATTTTCCATTATTATTATTATTATTATTATTATAAATGAGTCCATCTTTTACAAAATTACCATCAGAATCAAATTCAGTATGTTTAATAGGTCTACCAGTTTTATCGATAATAACACCCTCTTTAACTTTTAATCCCTCAGGGCCAAATGATTCTTGAGTTAACGGTTCTCCATCTTTATTAAAAACTCGTCCATTTTTAATAAAACAATTTTCAACTGGTAATGCTCCATAATTAAATGGTTTATTATTTATAATATCATAAATTAAACCATCTTTAATTTTTAACTGTTGATTATTGATAATATATGAATTTTTATTTAATGGTTTACCATTATTATCATAAATTTTACCATTTTTAATAGTATTACCATAATCATCAAATGATTGTGATAAAATAGGTTTATTATCATTACCGTATACTAAACCATATCGTACATAATTTATTTTAATAGCAGTTGTTGTTTGTTGTTGTTTTTTATTTAATGGTTTACCATTAGAACCAAATATTGAACCATTTTGAATATAACTATCGTCATTACCAAAAGTACCACGACTCAATGGTTTCATATCTTTATCATAAATAAAACCATTTTCTATAAAACAACCATCATGTCCAAATGAACTGTGATTTAATGGTTTTGAATCTTTACCATAAAGTCTACCTTCTTTAACGTAATATTCATCAGGTAATTTACTGCCAGCATTAAATAATCCACCACCAAAATTGTGTAATAATCCATCTAATATATATGTACCATCAATTTTAAATACACCAATTTTAAGTGGATCATCATTTTTATCATATACAATTCCTTGTTTAATATAACACCCGTTGTCTGGTAATAATGATCCTTGATTTTTAGGATTACCATCTTTATCAACTATTTTACCATCAATTATGGCTAGATCATTATTATTAGTCGTTTCTGTTAGTGGTTTACCATTTTTATCAATAATTATACCATTATTAATTTTATGTCCACGTGAACCAAATATTCCATTTTTAACAATATTACCGTGTTTATCATAAATTAAACCAGAAACTATATATGAACCATCCGATCCAAATGGATTTTTATCAAGTGGAATTCCCATATTATCAAAAATAACTCCATTAGAAATAAAACAATCATCAGGTATAGATGAACTTAAATTTAATAATTTACCATCTTTACCGTATATTAATCCATCTTTAATGAAACTACCATCTGGTTTAAAGAATGATAATTTTATTAATTTACCATCACGATTATAAATTTTACCTTGTTTTATAAATGCACCTTCTGGTAATAATGAATCTTGATTTAGTGGTTTATTATTTTTTCCCATTATAATACCTTTTTTTATTTGACTTGCATTAGATCCTTGAAATGATTCTTGTTTTATTAAATTACCATCTTTATCAAAAATATTACCATTTTTAATAATAAAACTATCATTATTAATATTATTAGGAGCTCCTAAATAACCGTTATTTAATAATTTACCATCTGTTCCATAAATAATTCCTTCACGAATAATCGTATCATCAGGTTTAAAAAGATTTTGATTTAAAAGTAATCCATTTTTATCATATATTAAACCTTGTTTAATAAAATGACCGTCAATTAAATATGGAATTTGATTTAAAGGTTTACCATCTTTAGCATAAATAATTCCATCCTTAACAAAACTACCATCTGTTTTATAAAATGAATGTTTTATTGATTTACCATCTTTAGAAATAACTTTACCGTCTTTTAAATAAGCACCACCGGGTAATAAAGATGCTTGATTTAATAATTTTCCATCTTTAGCATAAACAATTCCATCTTTAATAATAGAACCATCAGAACTAAATATTTCATTTTTAACAGGTTTACCATCCTTGGCGTAAACTTTACCTTCAGTAATATAATTACCTTCACGTCCAAGATCTCCACTAGATAAAAGTTTACCATCACGACCATAAATTAAACCATCAGATATGTAAGTTGAATCCGGAAGAATAGCTATTTGATTAATAACTTTTCCATTAGGTGAACATACTATTCCACCGACAATATAATTACCATCTGTTCCGTAAGAACCACGAGTAAGTGGTTTACCATCATCACTAAATATTAAACCATCTTTTATTGATCCACCATTTAATGATCCTCCTATATTGTCTATCGTTATTGTTTTACCATTTTTACCAATAACTTTACCTTCTTTAATTAAAGAATTTTTAGGACCTAAATAATAATTATTTAGTGGTTGTGGTTGACCATTATTTATACCACTTTCACAATAAATAATTCCATTATTTAAATAATAGTTATTTAAACTACTATCTGCACTAGGAATTTTTTGATTTAATGGTTTTCCATCTTTACCAGTAATAATACCATTAACAATGTATGAACCTTGTGGACCAAAATCACTTTTTTTTATTAATTTATCATCTTTTCCATGTAATTTACCTTTTAATATTTTATTAAATTCAGGCCCCAATGAATTTTGATCATAAAGTTTATCTTTTACGTAAATCATACCTCCAATAAAAGTAGTACCTTCTGGTAATGGTAATATTAGATATTCTTTTTGTGAATCAACATTTTTGGGTATAATAATTATATCGGGATTAACGGATGATGTTAAATTACCAGATTGTTCTTTAGCAATAAGTGCTGCTGATCCAGTTTTGTCATTTGGACTTGTTAATTCTTGTTTTTGTTGTTCTTTTAATCCTGCAGATTCAACATAATTAATCCCTGGAGTTCTTAAACCTGTAGTCGGTTGTTGAGATGATGATAATGATGATGATGATGATGATGGTGGTGGTGGTGGTGGTGGTGGTGGTGATGGTGATGTTATTTTATTCGGTGAAATATCTTTGGTTTTACGTTTTTCAGCCGCTGACTCAACAACTTTTTTATCCTCACCCGGAGCATAATTAAACGCTAATCCAGTAGCTTTTTTACTTTCTCCAGGAAGTAATTGTTGATTATTACTTTCTGGTGAAGCTGCTCTATCTTCATATGAAAAACCATGAGGTACGTATGATTTTTTTTTACTTGGTGACGATGGGGTTTCTTCATAATCATAAGTCTTTGTATAAGCTGGTGATTTTTTTCCAGATGTTACTTCTTTTATTGGTTCAATAGGTTGTGGTTGTTTTGATGATACAGAAATATTTGAATCAGCATCACCAATAGATTCATCAAGTTCCTTATTATTTTTAGTTTGTTTTTGTGTTTTATTTGAATCTTTATCTCGTTTACCAAAGAGAAATCCACCGACAGGAATCTTTTATAATAAACAAAAAATAAATACATGCTTTACATGCTACATACCATTCTACTACTTATTAAATAATGATAATAACAATTGGAATTTTTAATTTTTACAAATTTATCATTTTAAAAAAAAAAAAAAAAAAAAAAAAAAAAAAAAAAAAAACAATATATCAAATTTTAAACTCGAATTATACGGATAATCTACTGATTAAAATACAAAAAAGTATTATTTTATTTAAATAAATGTATGTAACAAACCTTTATTTTCTCCTTTTTGTCACGCTTTTCTGGACTTGCCTTCTCCTTTAATTTTTTATTATCGCCAGACGTGCTATCATTTATCAATTCTGATTTATTAAGATCATTGTAATTTTCTTTTTCATTTTCATTCTGTTTATCCTTTTTCTTCTTACTGGTAAGTTCACCACCGGCAGGCGGTAATACCGCAATACCTCCGACCGGTTTCTACAATTAAATTTTAAAAATCGAATCACAAAAGCGTTCCATGCACGCAAAATAAATATAGTCTGAAGCTTTGCTTGTAAGCTTAAATAACTTTTTAAATTATAATTTTATTTGAATTTGATATATGATGTACACACTGATGATGTGTGAGTGTAAGAGAAAAAAAATTTTCTTTAATAATATTTTATTAATAAAGGAAAAAAACAAATAAATAAAAAAACGCTTACAAATAATGCGACACATTATACATTGTATACTCTTGCTGCCGTTAATTAAAAATAAATTTTTTCATAACAAATATAATACATGATCAATCTAACATGCCAAAATAATAATATTATAATAATTACGGTCTGCGCTCCCGTACATTTTTTACTAAATTTTTTACATTACATTATTACTGTTATTTATTTTTTTTTTTTTTTTCTTTCTTTAAACAGCCCCCTTTACACGTAATGGAATTTATGAAAGGTAAAAATTACAATATGACATGTAAATATACCATGCATTCGATAGAGGTGTATGAAGTAATAGTACCAAAAATCAACCTTTGTAATTGAAAACAATAATTTAGAGTATAGTAAAGTGCGACATTGTAAATAGAGATAAATAATTAATTGATTGATAGTGTAGAAAATCAATTTTTGAAATTAAGGAGAGGAAATGAATGATGAATTATACCTTTTCGGCGCGTTCCGCGTCATATTCTCCTTCCAGGCTACTGGCACTGCTAGCCGATGTTGTTCCAATACTTGTTTTTCGAGTAAGCTATCCGTTGCATTAGTATATATGTGTCAATTAAACGTATCCGTATTAAATTTTAAAATACAATCAACTTTAATTTTAAATTAAAATGACAATATTAATAATAATTATTATTAATAATAATCGTATTCTGAGTACGTGCTTTCTAATAAATTATTTATCAATTATTATTATCAAGTATTTAGCCGTCGCAAGTACATGAAATGATTCTCTATTGGTGGCTCTAAATACTAAATATGCTATGTAATTATTTTATACCTTGTTGTTTATTTATGATAAATAAATAAAAAATTTTAATTAAGTTTTGAATTATTTGTGAGATATAAAATATACGGATTGAATAAAATTCTTGAAAGCGTAGACCGTATTGAACGTATTAGATCGTATTATAATCATTATAGTGATAAAATTAGTAATTAAATAGAAAAAAATAAACATTACCTTATCTTTTTGTTTTTTTATTGGACTAGGCCTTTGATCGATGTGTTCCATATCTGGTATCATTTCGGGTTCATAACTCATTGTGTGACGTTTACTTGGTTCTGAGCCATAAGTTTCGACAGTTTGTGACCCACCTAAAGCTAAATAGATAAGTAATATAAAAAAATTTTTAATGGTAAAAACAAAAATTAATAGAAATACAAGTTTAAAAAATAAAACAAAAAAAAAAAAATGAATAATTAATAAGTATACCGTCCATACTGCGAGACGTTAAACGACGACCGCTCAGTGATCTTTCAAATTGTGGAGGTTGTCTTTCAATAGGAATTTTTTTAGTTTCATAATGTGTACGTCCAGAATAACGAAATCGTGATCCTAAGTGTGGTAACAAACCAACCTTTTTCACCGGCTCAGGACTCATAAGTCTATAGTTAATATTATTATTTATAGATTTATTTAAATATTATTGAAAAATAAAATTGTATTTACCTGAAGAAAGTATGATGTTCTACGCAAACTTTCCATAATTTTTTGGCAGCTCGATGATTTGCTAATTTGAAACCAATCGTTGATTCATATTGTTCAAATTCTCCTGGCCGAATTTTAATATAAAAATTATGCCTTTTATATGAAATTTTTAATATTTTAGGCCATGCAAATCGATTAATTCTCAGTCTATCACGGTGAACTAAAAGTCCCGAAGAACAAACACCGAGCATTATATCTACTCCTTCTGAATCTTTTGCTGGATGTAGATCAACACCATACATAGCTAGTTTTTTTGCATTCTCTAAGTAATGTAATTCTGCTTCAGCAGGTGTTTGACCCCTGTTGTATAATAATAATAATAATAATAATAATAATAATTTTAATAAATGTTAATAATAATGAAATTTTATTTATTATAAATAATAATTTTACTTGTGCGTTTTGTGAAGGTCCATTACTTTCTCAACAAGTTCAGATGTTTGATTAGGTGCAAATTTAAAATCTTTCAAATAATCTCTGCCATGCTCTTGAGGATCGTAATCGCCCACTTCTGATTGTACTAAATAAGACCCTAATAAAGCGTGAGTGACAAATGAACACGCTAATCGTCCTGTTATTATATCATTTCTAATTTGAAGACACAATTGGTATCGAGTAATATCTTCCTGCAATTGAGCAGGGTCTGGTGGATAAAATTTTACCTCAAAATTGAATTTCCAAGGTTCACCTATTAATTTAATAATAAAAATAAAAATTTTAATTACCGTTTAATAAAAAATTAATAATTTTTATACATACTTTTTATGAATTTCGTAATTCTTCTTTCCAAATCAAGCCAATTTCTTGGATCATATTTATCTTCATAAATAAGACCAAAATAATCCTTTTCAATTAAATTAATACTTGCACATATTTTATCAAGAAGCTCGTGTCCTTTTGCTTTTCTCTGTAATTGTAATATCAAATTTTATTATTTATTTACAACTATATACTTATTACTTATTATTATCATTAAATAATAATAATAATAATAATAATAATAATAATAATAATAATATATTACCTCTATAGAAAAATCTTTAGTAGTACCATCAAGGAGTGTAATTTTAGCAAGTGCCATTTTACCTCTTATCATTGGACTTTTACTCGGTGAATGAGTAACTCCTGTTCCATTTTCAGCTGCCGTAACATTACCAGTAGTGGTACTCGTTGATTTTTGTTCCTCCGGCATTTTTAATCTAAAATAAATCATTTTCTTAGTTTTTATTTTTTATTTTTAATTAATTACATATATAATCAATAAGCCCTTAAAAATTTATTCATTTATTGATCTAATAGATTTTTTTTGCTAATAAATTGAAAATTTTTATAATACATATTTATTTTAAATTCGACTAGTCTTCTCGATAAATAATAATAAATAAAATTGAATGATAAAAATTTTACTTATAATGTATTACTCAGAGAGTTTGATAAAAATAAAATTAAATACATATAACAGACTCACACAATCAGAGTAATGTTATAACATCATTATTGTTTCATATTATAAATATGAGTCAGATAGTGGACCTTATTCATTCTATTTGCAATATTTAAATGAACGTTCATGTTTTTTTTATTGTATATTATTACGTAATCATGGAGTAGAAGTTTATTTATGGTGAATAATACATGCACGCACACTCACAGTATATAATAAAAATAAAATAATTTACAGTGAGCGTAAAGTAAATTGAATTGTCCTTGACGCTAGCATTCCATTAACGATAAAAGTCAAATCAAATACAACAAGTGTAGCCCTATCACGATAAATTATACATATTATTAGATATTTTTGTTTATTTATTTGTTTGATTTCAATTAGACATTAGTCGTGAAAAATTTTAATTAAATAATGTCATCTCATCTGCTTCAAGGACTATAAATAATAATGAATTTAATCAACTTAAGAGAGCACAAGTTTAAAAAAATTTTCATCAGACAGAGAAATAATGTCTCGTCTTGGAGTAATTGTTGTTAACTTGTCGAGTGGTTAATATAATAAATACATAAGTATACTCAGTTCTTTATGTATATAGATATAGAGATATCTACATATATACTACCAAAAAACGTGGTTCATTCAGTTGTATGTTTTATATTGTATATATACATGGCTAGTATAGGGTTCGTTTGTCTCCGAGACGATCGCGTGGGCAACACGTCTATCCAACATTGATCTAAAGAACGATACACTACTACTGTAACATATAATAACAATAAAACAGAAAAAAATAAAATATCTACTGTCATTTTTACCTTTTTAATTTTTTTTTATTTCAACCAAAATAATAAATCATCTTTCTCCTAGGTATAGTACTATATTTTACGTAAAATTAATATCTACTGAATATTAATTTTAATTTTTTTTTTATTTGCTCTTGCATTTAATTAGTAACAGAGAATGCATTTTTTACATTACATAAAATTCTTTTACCTCGTCATAACTACACATTACATTGTACTCTATTATACACGTGTAATTTATTTACGTTTTATAGAGAAAAAAAAAAACAAATACAGTTGTTTAATTTTTAGCATGCACGATGTTCTTTTCCAAAAAATAATTATTTTAAATATTTTTTTCTTGTTATATTCGTGATAACCTAAAACTTTACATAATATAAATAATGTTTGCTCTTTAAACGTGTTACTTAGCTACATAAAAAATATTATTATTATTCTCAGTGTATGAAAAAGAAAAAAATAATAATTTTGGTACCATCGTACATTGGGTACGAGTTTATTGATTCTGATAAGTATTATTGAGTATCTTCAATTTTATAATAATAATATTAATAATAATAATAATAATAATAATAATAACAGAAATAATATTATTATGTATTGTCGATATCTAAAAATGTCTTTTATTCCTTTTATTTACAGGAAAGTTGTTGGAAAGTTGCGTACACATTTAGTAGGTATCTCTGAACCGCGCATCTGTGCTACTAAGACGACCGTATTATTTAATTGTCGGTACGTAAAACAACAATACAAGTAAAGAGAATTGTCAAAGTTTGATCTAACTATGACATACAGTAGAACAGTAGAAAAATGAATTTCATTTTTATTATAATAATAATAATAATAATAATAATAAATCTTGATGATGAAAGTAAAGAACAAAAAGAGAAAATAATAGTATAAGGTGGAGTGTAAATTTATTACACTGGGCTTTAAATCCCTCACAACTCATAAGTGATCTTAATTGAGGTCATCAAGCAATTATTCGGATTGTTTGTCATCTAACCCAACGAGGTCAGCTCTACTTATATCATTATCCTTTATATTATAGTGTACTTTTGCAACATTCTTTTATTTCATCTTTATACATATAGTGGGTATACACCCACTGAAATTTTTTAATAACTCAAATATACAAAAACACACTCGTATAATTAGTCGATAAACTATTCGAAAAGTTTACTGACATTAAAAAAAATTCATATACGTTTAAACAAAACACTTGTATGTATGACAAAAAAATAAAAACATAATTGGTACGTACATACGTACAATATAGAATAATACTACTAAAGTATTTTACTTATGCAGTAATGGAATAATAATAATAATAATAATAAGTGATGAAATAATGATAAAATTTTTAAATTATCGGTAATAAAATGTATATTTTTAAATTACGAAATGTGAATCATGGTAGTAGCTTGTAATTCTTACAATAAATATTTATTGAATTGTGAATATCCGACAAATACCAACTAATAAAGTCATTTACTGCGAGTCATAATTTTTTTTTTATAATTAATATTAAATTTATCGTTAGTTTATTTATTAATAACTGTCGATACTAAATACGTTATATATTAATAATAAAAATGATACATTTGATGTTTAATTATATACCATTCACAATTTGGAAAAAAACACCTCGTATTTTAATAAATCCAAATTAATTAATAGCGTAAACATAAATTTAATTCATTAATTCAACATTAATTTTTATTGGAAAAAAAAATTTATCTTATAACCTATGTGTTCGGTGAATAAATATCCGAAATAAACAAGAATTGTGTTTTTTGTTTAAAAGTTTATTCTAAAAAATTTAGGACACACGTACACTCTACAGGTATGTAATAGTTGTAATAGTGTATATATCCCCCACTCTTTATATCTGGCAACTAAGAACTGGGAGCGTCAGATTTATATCTAAACAATGATTAGTGTATTCAACAACAAGCAAACGTTCATTTTTTTACGGAAAAATTCAAAATTTAATAATTGAATTATTAAATTAAATAACACCATTTATAATTTCATAAAAAATAATTATTAAAAATAAAAATAATAAAATAGTTTTAAATAACCATCAGCGAACGGCAGGCCCTTTAAACATATTATGCCACGGCTGTCATCATGACTTACCTTTAATTTAAAAACACACACACTCAAACTTTTTATTATTGTATCTTTAATTTTTCCTTTGTAATACAATAATAATATTATTATTATTATTATTATATCCTATTGGTGAAATCCAATATGGTAAGAAAGGTGTTATTGCAAATAATGTTATTATAAATAAATAAATAGAATCACTAAACAGTAAAATTGAAAAAAAATTAACGAAAAAGAATTTAACATAGTAATGATAATAAAGTATAAAATATAAAAAAATTTAGCGTTTTAATAACTGTACTGATAGCCTAAAAACTTAATAATAAATATAATATGAACACCACGAACAGGTTCGCCGGATAGAGATCGCGGCACCGTGGCTTAGCTGCACAACGCTGGTTATTGCTACTGTACGACGCTACTCCCATTCCCCCTAATTCCCTTCCCCGCCCACACCACTCAAAATCGAATCATCATCACAAATATACACTTACAATACATAAAAATAAAAAAATAAATACAACCACTGAGACAATGAATATACAAATGTATCTATGTAATTGTTATTTATTTATTTATTCCATTAAATCAACAAACACCTTTCTGTCATTAAAAATTTTTTCAAATTTTAGAAATAATCAATTGATGATATACTATATTCATTGAAAAATTATTTACTACTACAGCTTGAAACTTTTTTATATCATCGAAATGAATAATAATAATTATTATTATTATTATTGTAAAAAAAAAAAGAAAATCTAGATATACTCACATTTGTTGTAATAATATAATAATAATATAATATATTTTTACACCTAGTCAAAATGGCGGTTTAAATGCATACACATAAATGGTTCATGTACATATTTTTGTCAACAATACAACACAACGGTGAATAGGTGAATACAGTGAATAGAACTCGGAACGAAAAAAAAATCGTGAAACGAGTGGATTTCTCTCTTATGACGCAATCGCATCGCACGAACAAAACCCCGCCCGATGCTTCGATACTCCGAATGGCTCCGAATCTCCTAATGTGTTTAATTCCTCCGGTCGGTGGTTCGGTGCAGTTCGGTGGTTGTGGTTGGCAGTCGGCTGTTACAGGTATTTATATTTATTATAGATTTTATAGTATAGATGTCGTTACTTGTTAAATTATTCTTCAGAGATTATTTACATATATTTATACTAAGAGTCGAGATACCTATACTTGTATATAGTAGAGTAGAGAGTACAAAAAAATGTATATACATACACTTCCTAGTACAGCTTATTTTTCGGCAACTAATTTTGAACGACTTATGTTTTTTTTTTTTAATATTTTATAATTAAATGAGCATTATGAGTCGTGCACTTTTGGATTTTCCAAACTTTTATTTTATTATTCTTTGATGTGGTGTTTATAATAAGTATATATCGACATTGTTTATTATAATTACAATAATAATATATGATGATGATAACGATAACCTTTATTGTTTATCAGATTAATTACAAATTGAAATCGGTTTACTATAATATCATCAATAATTATAATCTTAAATAATTGTAATACATTAATGGAGACTAATAAACAATCAATAAAAAAAAAACAAATACCACAGGAACCACATATTTTTACTATCATATTATGTCAATATATACTACGTGCATAGTTAACTATTATTAATTTAATTAATAATTAATAAAATAACGTATGGTCATCAGCAGCACGATAGTTATATACGTATGTAATTTAAAATGATGAATTTATGAACAAATACATATATATATATATATATATATATATTTGTTAAATCCTTCATTTGACTTTGACTAAATATATATTGATGATTAGCTGATTAGTCACGTGGATCGTGTCGATGTGTCATATGATAAAAGTAATTGCCAAGTCGTTAAAAAATGTCAAACTTCTCCACGTCGTCTGTGATAACACTGATAAACTACAATCTATTTGATAAATTTTGTATATTATAATTTAGTTCTATTGAGAAGAAAATAACATTCGACTTTCAAGTAAGGTTAGTAGTTGTATACATATATATATATATATATATATATATATATATATATATTTTTTTTTTATTATTTACTCTCAATTACACAAATTAACCGTTTTATTTTTTATCAATATAGTTTTTTTTTTTTTTTTTTATTCACTGTTGAAAATTAATTATAACTGTATAACACTTGTAATTAATTTTATAGTAGATAATTAGAATTTAGATAATAACTAATTTTATAGACCTTAATAATAATAATTATTATTATTAAATTTTAACTGATAATAATATAATAAAAAATATAACAAAAAGCTTTAATTATTATATTATTAATTATTAATAAATTTTAGAATATTTAATAATAATAATAATAATAGAAATAGTAAATAATGGAAAATAAATGGAACGTGTTGGTGACTGGGGGTGCTGGTTATATTGGTTCTCACACGGTATTAGAACTAATTAAACAAGATTTTCCGGTGGTGGTCATTGACAATCTTGGCAATGCCCATAAAGGTAAGAATGTTATAATTTTATATAAATAATAGTATATTTTATTTATTAATTTTATCTATTTATCATTTATAGATCCGAATGCCAGTAAACCAGAATGTCTTTTACGTGTAGAAAAACTCGCCAGTAAATCAGTAATATTTGAGGAATGTGATATTACAGATATAAACGGTATAGAAAAATTATTTAAAAAGGTAAATAATAGCTTTAAAATAATATGTTAAATATAATCTGTTTGTTTAATTAATAAATTTATTATAAATGTTACAGTATAAATTTCAATGTGTTATTCATTTTGCTGCTTTAAAAGCAGTAGGTGAATCGTGCCAAAAACCTTTGGAATATTACAAAACAAATGTTGGAGGTACATTAAATTTGTTGCAAGTAATGAAAGATAATAATGTAAAAAACTTGATTTATTCAAGTAGTGCAACTGTTTATGGGATACCAGAAAAGTTACCTCTTACTGAAGAAATGAAAACTGGTAACTGTACTAATCCCTATGGGAATACAAAGTTTATCGTTGAAGAAATTTTAAAGGATTTGTGTGCAAGTGACAAATCCTGGTCAGTTATATCGTTAAGGTATTTTAATCCTGTTGGCGCACATCCGTCTGGTGAAATCGGAGAAGATCCAAATGGTATTCCAAACAATTTAATGCCATTCATAGCTCAAGTGGCTGTTGGTAAAAGAGATATATTGTATGTTTACGGTGATGATTATGACACACCCGATGGTACAGGTACTTAAAACAACAACAACAACAATTGATACAAGTATATTATCTGAATAATATATTTGTTATTATTATTATTGTATACAGGTGTTAGAGATTATATACACATAATGGACTTGGCTGTTGGCCATGTAAAGGCTATTATTTATCAAAGCTCACGAGATGTTAAGGGTTTCAAGCCAGTTAATTTAGGCACTGGGCGAGGTTTTTCCGTTTTAGAAATGATAAAGGCATTTGAAAAAGCTTCTGATAAAAAACTTAATTATAAAATTGTTGAAAGACGACCCGGAGATGTATCATCAAGTTATGCAGATGCTTCATTGGCAAAAAAAGAATTTGACTGGATTGCTACAAAGAATATTGATGACATGTGTAAGTACATCACCTTTGTTGTAATTTTTATATAATATACATATCAAATCCTTAGTCAGTTCAATATTATTATTTATTTTTTTTTTTTTTGGTAATCAATCAGGCGCTGACACGTGGAACTGGCAAAGAAAAAATCCTAATGGATTTAAATCACTCTGATTATTAATTTAATTATCAAGATAATGTAAGTAGCCAAATGAGGGATAAATATTATTAATAAAAATCATTACCAAATCAAGAACCAAACAATACTTATTTAAATAGTAATAGTTGATAATAAAAATTATGAAATTAATTTATTTTATCTCTTTCTCTATCTTTTTTCTTTATTTTCTTCTTTTTATATCATTCTCAATACTTGACTCTATAAGTTGAGATCTTGTTGATGTTAATAACTTTTGAACACCTAAACCTAGCATACTGTTGACCCCAATTACAAAAATAATTATGTAATAATCTCTTAGTTGCATATTGGCAGTGAATTATTTTGTTATTGATTCTATGATATACCACGCAAAAGTTGTCTTTAAAGTGTATGGATATTTTTTTAAATTTATATTTACTATTAAACTTTTTATTTAATAAAGATATTTAAAATTTTTAAAATCACTTTATCTGGAAAAGAGAAAAAAAAGGTTTATAATTTATAATAAATAATAAAAATAAATGTTATACCAATATCGAGTTTGGATTATTTTCGTTTATCAAAATTATTTTTAGATAATTTAATTAGCACTCATAAACTTGGCATTCATAAAACGTAATATACCAATTAAACTTTAATAAATGTATGTGTTGGCACTTATAGATGTATGTCAACAGAACGAACCGTTATTATGAAGGACGATTTAAAATTTTTACGATAGAATTAACGATAGTTATCTTTAAAGCTGTTTCAGAGGACTCCGTTATTCCAATATATAACAAGTAATAATATTATTATGCAGTCGGAAAATCTTTTGTTTATGCAACTTTACAATGCCTATAAATTCTCATAGCATATCTCTAAATTATTATTATTATTATTATTATTATTATTATTATTTTTTTTTTTTTTTTTGTAATAAGGGTATACGTTAACAGTATACTGGAGAAAATATTATTTTATGCATTATATGTGTTTCATCATGTATTATTATTTAATGTATATAATAATTGAGAATAGTTGACAATTTAAAAGTAAACAATTACTAATATTAAATGTATATAAAATAGATCAAATATTGACCGTTGACTGAATACAGTAGGGCCATAGAGAAAGGATAAGGGATACAGTACAGATAAAATTAATAATTTGACACCTACACTCGTTTATTATTATTATTATCATTTATATGGATATATTATTAGTAAGTATGTTGTATATATATATATATATATGTAATAATACATTCTTTGGTTGTGGCGTTGTTGGTTGTTCGTTCGTTCTTTCGTTCGTTCGTTCGTTCAGTCAACAGTCAAGTTCCCCTACCTAACCGGTGTCCAGTTATGTTGCTGTGGCGAACGTTGCTAGCAATAAGAATACTGTTGTATTATTTCTATTCTGTTCCTTCACGACGTTACGCGTCATCGTCATAAACTTTTTGAACTTAATAATTATAATGAAATAGTTTATTTAATGTTGATTGTGAATCGATTGTTTGTTTTTTTCCTTTATTGATACACACAAAGTGTTGTTACAATTATTAAGTGAAAAAGGTATATCATCACTAGTATTAAAATATGTGTAGAAGCATCTAAAGAGAATAAACTAGATAAATAAGGTGTTTTAATAATCATTGAATTATTTTACTATTTTTTAAAAAGTTTGTGATTGTTGCACAATGGTAACAATTATTAAATTATAAAGGATGCCTTTCAATTGATAACACGAAATATTTTATATTTGATGATAGTGAATTTTCCGGTGAGTAAATTAAAAAATAAGCATTTTTTTTTATATATATATATATATAATTAAACTACCTGTTACAATAATCATAAATGAATACATCATATATGTGATACAACAACAACAACAACAACAACAAATATTGTTTATATTTTAGGGGAGGATAATTTTTTGTTACACTATTTTAACAAATCTAGTCATTTGTAATTACCATTAATTGTTAGATACTATTTCTTATTATTAAGTTAAACTATAAGCGGTAATATATAAAATTGTGTAGAGAAAATAAGGAACAAGTGTGTTGAACCTTTTGAGGTCGCGCGCACCTGCCATATTGATTCTATTTATCCTTTTCTCAAACTCACGCTCATTTAACATAAATAAATTTTATTATTTTAAAAGTTTTATTGTAAAATATCATGCAGAGTATTAAATTTAAAATTTAACAAGATTAAATACGCAAAGATATATTGTTTTCGTATCTATCTGAATGTATAGTATTATGAATTATGATATTGTATGTAATACTAATGTAGGTATATTCTTCTTGTTCGATAGAACAGGTTTAAATTTCTCATACTATTCAATTATTTTTTAATATATAATTATATATGTGTATCTCAAAAGTATTTCATGTTTTATGTTATATTTTAATTTTCAGTTTGTATGAATTTTGTGTTGATGTATATGTCTGTATAAATCTACGTATGTACTATGTATGTATTTAATCCTGGAAGAAGTTTTATTTAACTGAAGAACGATCGCAGCGACGTTCTTTTACTGAAGAATGCGTACATGTACAATGTATGTACGTATGTATATATTTAGATATAAAATTTGAAATGGTATGTGTGGTAGTGGCTTTTCTTGGTGGTTCTGATATGTAGGTAGGTACATACTCTGATGGCCTCTATACTATCTAGGTATATACTACTGGTACTGGTATCGGTTGGTAAATATGCTAGATGGTTGTTGGATGTTGGATGGTGGTGGGATTGTTGCAGATTGTTGCATTTTGTGGTGACGAGTAGTGGTAATCGTAATGGTAATGGTAATGGCAGGCGGTGGTTCATTTCTGGAACGCGGTAGACGATGCTAGTAGACTAGCTGTGATGACGAGATTTCCTGTATATATAATATACTTATAATAAATTTATTACATCTTATTATTATTTCTTAAGGAAACCTGCGAACCTGAGCGTGAATTTTCTCATGACGGTTTTTTTCATGCAACAGTTATTTTTCCCTTGTAACAGTGAATTCTTTTTTTTTTTTTTCCTTCTATTCACTGTGTATTTACATCATAAATTCTTTTGTTTATAACTATATTTTTATAATGTAAGAATAACTTTTTCATACCGTATAATGCTAAAATCAGTTAACGGATCTCCTCTAAACTAAACGATTTTAAATTCCATAATAGTCAATAAAGACAAACCATTAAATAATATTGATAATTAATAAATAAATATTTTTTATATCCTATATACTTATTGCAGCGCAAGCAGTCGTGCATGATCTTGCTAAATCTGTTCAATTGACCTTCATAACTATTAATTGACATCATGTATGTATAACAGAGCTCAAGTTTAGCGACAATTACTTCCTCATTTTATTTTTTAATTTACATACTAAAGAAATGGTTTTTTACATCAATAAAAAATGTTTAATCCTTTCAATAAATGCCAAGTTTAAATTTATTTTTAACTTTGCATTTATATATCTACTATGATTGATTTATCATTGTTTATTGACCTGATAATCATGATAATGACAATAATAATAATAATAATAATAATAACAAAAATTAATAATGTCTAAATTATTATCATTGTACGTATTAAAGTTTAATAAATTATATAAGTAGATGTATATTTTTTTCGTTCGGAGATTTTAAGATTGTGAATTTTTCTTCTATATAGATCAAGATCTTATAGATATTGATTTGTATTCTATTTTATATACCGTTAAATATTAATTATATTTTTCATTAATCATAATAATCATCAGGTATACGATTTGATTTTTAGAAAAAGTTTAGTTGTTGATTCGAAAATAAAAACTTGCCTTTGTTGATTAGATTGAATATAGATAATTAATGTAAAATATTTTTTGTTGTCGTAGTTATTATATGCAGCAGGGAATTTTAAAATACTTTTTTCATCGATTTTATCGTGCATAATATTTTATTCAAGATTAATGTTGAAAAAAATAAAATAGTTGCCGAAAAAGATTTAAAATAAAATAATATATAAAATAACGTTACCCTAAAAACTACACAGACTATTAAAATATAGATAGGTTGTTATTGCAAATTCTTCAACCGGATCTTTTAGATAAAATAAAAACAGGTTTATTTAATGGATAAAAGGAATAAGGTTCTAAATTTATTCGAATGTAAATAAATATTCGGGTAACTAAAAAAAAAAAATTTTATCAAAGTTTTTGCATACACCGATCGCGAATACCAAAATAAAATTATTTAAAAAAATGATATACCACATTGATTTGTTGTTAATTCTTTTTATTATATTAAATACATGTATATATCACACTGGTTTATTTAAATTTATAATTTTCATTTTCACATTTTAGACAACATTTATATTAAATAATTAAAATTCTTGTCAAAAAACGAAAATAAATAAATAAATAAACTAAAGCTAATAATAGATTGCAGTAAACATGGATTATTTTAGTTTTTCGAATGGGAATGAAAAAAACAATTTATTATAATCATCATCATATTTTTATATTTTAATATATTCCAATGACGTCCGCAAACTTTAGAACTTTCTGACAAAAAATATTGTAAGAAAGTTATAGTTAAATAAAAATAATAAAAATAATAACATTAATAATAATAATAATAATAATAATAATCATAAACTTAATAGTATTTTGTTATAATTCGATAACAATTTTTTACATTACTTTCTTATATACTATTTTTTATATTATCTTTGCGAAGATATAATAGTGTTATTGTGAAAAATTCCACCCTAAAGAATAAAATAATAATCGTATTTTTATGTCTATACATATATAAATAGTAATCTATCAAAATAATAATGAAAATAAGTAATAAATTAACATAAGAGTTTTTGTTATATTACAGCCAACTATATATATATATATATATATACATACCAGGTAAACAAGTAAATTATTCTTATGATTAATAGTTGATTCTTGTTTCCTCGAAAAAAACTAAACGACCTTACGGATAATGTTGTTAACGAAAAATAGTAAAAAAACTGATGGATAA